TAAATAGGGAGAACTAATCAGGTGCAGCTGGTGGTAATCAGGGGATATGAAGCAGGTGTGTCGGATAACGTAATCAAGGTAAGGGAGCAAAAACAGAGTGAGGGGAGTGAGAAGGCAGGCGCAGCCCAAACCTGACACTTTGAACAAAAAAAAAAAAAAGAAAAACCAACAAAACTGGTGCTGATAACCTTCTGTCATGGACTTGTCAGTTTTTCCAGCTGTAGGTCTTGCTTCTGACTTTAATGAGAGGGTCTGGCTTTCACCTTTCCCAGATGGATGACTTAATCAATCCAGGATAAAACCTTCAGCTAAAATGTAGTATTTTCATTTTTATTAGGGTTGTTTAAGGTTCAATTATTTAAATGCCTTAACAGCTTTGTTTTTGGAGTGACTATGGTTCAGTAGGTAGAGCGGTTGTCAACCGGAGAGTTGAAGGTTCTAATCACGGTGCCTGCAGTCCACATGTTGAAGTGTCCTTGGGCAAGACACTGAACCCCCAAGTTGCCCCTGATGGTTAGAGCCATCACTTGAGTTGGCACTGCAGATGGCTGCCTCGGTTCTGTACCGGAAACAAATTCCTTGTGTGTAACATACTTGGCCAAATAAAGTGATTTATCCTTATCCTTGTTTGCTCAGTATAGTAAATACAAGTTTTTGCAAGTGGTAAAATGATTTTTAATTATTTAAGCTATTAGCATGTTTTTCCAATGTCTCTTCTGTCAATTTGTTTAATTCAATTTTTGTCTGATAATAGTTTTACTAGATAGACAGGAACAGGTTGACCCCAGGTGTGTTTTGCTAGTGTGTCATTATGTACTGTATGTTAGATGTTAGCTTGGTATGAAAAAGAGGCATGAGGTAAAGGTCATGTGTCCGTGTGACCATTACACCACCACACTGACGCCATTTGTTTCACTGCTGTCAGCTTTTTGCAGCTTTGGTTCAGAGCTGTACAAAGCATCCAAGTGTCACAATTGAAGGCAGTCAGAGCTATTTGAAAACTCAACTTGTAGGCAGATCCCAGAGGCTGCAATGGTGCTCAGAGACTAGGAGGCCTTCACAAGTGTGAGTAATAGTTCTAAAATACAGGCACTGCCTGGAAGCCTGTCTGGTGAAGAAAGCCACCTAGGCACGACCATGTGGTTTTTAGTGCAAAATAGCAAGTATTAGCATGCTAACACTGCAAGCCCTGTTTTTTTCACATATTCTCTGATGGAAAGAGGTTGATATGAAGACTGACTGGTATCTTGTTAAAAGCACATTTAGGGCAATGAGTCTAAATTCTACAGTTATATTGTGCAGATTTATACAAGCATCTCAAATATGTCCATTAGTCAGTATAAGTGAGCTTAAAGTGCACGGATGTTGCTAAGAATTGTGATGAAGTCTCATTGTGCAGGGAAATACATTTCCATACTGTGCATATGACAGTAAACACTTTGAATACTGAATCTTTGACTCAATGCAAAACAAAGCACAAGCTGAGGACACACCTGTTGTTGGCTGCTGCTATAACAGTTGGGGATTTTATATGTGGGAAGTTAAAGCAGGTAAATACCTACAGTTATTGTCCATTACTGCCTTAAACATTTTGTTGAACTCCATGTCACTGCTTTCTAAGCCTGTCATCATGTAGCTGTCTGAATAAGTCTTAAATGTTTGCAGTGCAAGAAATGAGACATTAGCAGACAGTACTACCAGCTTGTACCATCCCGTCTTTGTTAGTCTTTTATCTGTGTTGTCCTTTCTCAAAATGCATCTAAATGTGTCTGTACATATTTAAATGTATTCTCATGTATTTCTTTTTGTCTCTCATTCCCTCCATCGCAGTGTGGCTCATTGAAACTGCATTGTCTTTCCAGGTGGCGAGCGTAACTGTGGAGTACACGAGCTGATCTGCGTCAGAAAAGGTAGGGCAGATCAGAGCTCTGGGAGGTTGACCTTTGACCCCACACTGCACCTCCCACTCCACTTTCCTCATCAGCATTTATCACTGTTAAACCCACCCTCGTCCTCCTGTTTCCCTGTCGTGCTGCCTTCACTGTTGCTGAGCAGTTTCAGCCTTCGTTTTGTTCAGTGTGCTCTCTGCTTCTGTCCGTTGTCTTTCACAGAACTGTTTATAACAGTGAAAATTTTCATTCTCATAAGTCAAACCAAGTATAAGAAAGAAACCTTTATCCATGCTGTTCCTATATACACACATTTATTGACCAAATGTACATTTTCATCTCTGGGTGGGTACAAGGGAATATGAACAAGGAATTAGAAGTACAGATGTGACCAACAGATATGTGATGATGTGGCATTAGCCAGGGCATGAAAAGAAGCCAAACAAATGCACATGTCACACTTTTAATTCATAACCAAAACCTTTATACTTTAATATAAAATATGATGCATTTCCTTTTGTTGTACACACACCTGGAAGGAGAAAATCTTGCTACACTATTTATACTGTTGTACAAAAAAATTATATTAATAGCTATACCTAATAAATCACACTGTCCTTCCCAGGCTAAACCACATGCTTTGTCCCCAGGCAGCAACACTTATATGGACAATATTAATCATAAGAAGTCACTGTGTAACTTAAAAAAGCAACAACAAAAAAAGAAATCTTTTTTGCAGAATTAGCATGTATCCTGTCATGTTTCCTAACTGAAATATTCCTGTGCTGTGTAATTATTAACTAAAGTTGGGCTCAGTAATAAAAAAAGAAGAACTGATTTTTTTTTTCTATGCTGTTCTGAAACTTGTTACTCCCTTATTTCTTAACTATATCTCTTCTTCTCCTATACCTACATGTTTGTATCTGTATAGATAGTCCGTGTAAAGCATTAGAGGGAGTCACAACAGTAATACTACAAGCAATATTGCAGTTGCATTACTGCATTATTTGTGGCTTTACAGTAAAAACAGCTATTACATAATTTACATAAGATATGAATTTATAAACACATAAACGGAGGAAAATGGATGGATGAATTCCTAAGTTAATTTTAATGTAATAAGGTACATATACCTGTTTTACTTGTTACATCATAAGCAGATGTTTTTAATGTGACTGCACATACGATCAAGATGCGGCTGCAATGTAATAATGAAAAGCTTTTTGCTAATCAAGTTTGTTAAAATAGTTATGATGTCAGTGTACCCAGTGCCTGTCTCTGACATAGAGTTCTGGATGGAAATGAGACTAAAACAAACAAACAAAAAGTGGATTCAGAGGATGCTTATCACAGTATGCTGATCACACTGAGTGGTCTGGCTGTGTGTGTGTGTGTTCAATAGCTTGGGTTATTCCATCCCATTTTTTGTTATAGCTGGAGACTAATTCCAGAGGTGTTGTGTGGGTGTGTGTGGACAGGTTTGTGGCTAGGTGTTGCGCTTCAGAGCGTTGTCTGAACATGTGTGGGAGTGTGCATGGGAGTGCTGGTGAGAGTGCTTATGGGCTGCCAGTAGAGTGTGTGGGTGTCTTTGTGGTTTTGAGAGATGGTTTTGTACTTTCTGACATTTGACATAGCAACTGTTTCCATGCAGACAAAATAAGAATAACTGTCAACATTGACAATAGATCACCACAGCACATTTACATCAGTTTCCCACTTGTGTGTGGTACGTGTTTCTCATTTTATGTAATCTTCATGTGCAGATACTATCATATACCTGGCTTGGTTCTATTAGCACCTAAATCTAAACCTTAATGACAACTTTAGAAACCTCACATTAGCACAGCATCATTAGCCATCCATCCATACATCCTTTATCTTATCCACATATCTGAGTTGGTCACCATGGCAACAGGGTCTACTGAGCAGCTCCGATGTCCTTTTCCTCCTGGGGGTTGAAAATGCTCTGGGGCATTGTGGGGAGATGAAGTTTTTCTAGCCTGTCTGGTGTCAGACCACCATCAGAAATCTATAGGTCGAAGGACGGTAGCTGAGAAGGACACTGCCTCGCACTTTCATCTTTTGCCAAGCTTGATGGCACACATGGGCTGAGATCACCTGTCCCCTCCTGTATCATCAGGTCAAGATGTTCTTTGTTGTTGTGCAGTGCAGCAACCTTCGAGTTCCTTCTGTTAAACCCAAGGAAAAGGTCACTGTGTCCTTGACCTGTGGTTGATGATTAGACGGTCGTGTGAATAAATCCCACACCTTGCATCATACAAATTCAGGTATTATGCTTCTTAGGATCAGTCATCTCTGCTGGGGTAAAAGTTATACTCAGTTTACAACACCTTTAATTAAATGATATATTGTAAACTTTGCCACTAATCTCTCTGTTTTCAACATTTATACTGAGTGTATCATCCAAATCAATAGTTGTACTTTATATCCGTACATTGTATCCTCTATGTAAACCTTAAATCTGATCAAGTGGCAGACATCGACAATATTGTCAGGTTTGTCTTCTGAACTGCATCTTCTTTTACCTTAATGAAAAAACTGAATACACTTTTATTTCCATTGTATGTTGCTGGTGTATTCTTCTAAGCATGTGTTGATTTAATTTTCTTATTTGCATCATAAACTATTTCAGGTTGTCATTAGGCATCACTGCTCAGACTACAGATGAAAAATGGTCTCTAAAAATGGTTTCTAATCTAAATATATGTGTCAGTTCCTGATATTTCTGTCTTGTAAATAGATTTTGATCATATTTTTACATTGTGTTGCTTCTTGTCTTACCTCCAATCCAACTCTAAACACTAACACCCAAGAAACCTACTTTATTGTTCTCTGTGCTTCTTGTGTAACAAAGTCTGTTAGTGTTAAATGTTCTTATGAGTCAAATGAGATAAGTCAAGTTAGAAATGATATTAGATATCCCACACCACGCAGCTCCTACACTGTGTTAAAGCACTAGAGCTTCCTGTGGAATACAAGAATACAGACTGTTTATGGAGTAAAACAAAGAAATATTATAGTCAGGAAATCCAAAGTAAAGAGAGAAATTGTCTGTAGGCTTTTGTGATTGAATCTTCTTTTCCCTGTTTGAGCCACTTGGGGAATCTTACAGAGCAAGATCTCCATCTGTGCTGTGAATAAGTCAGTCACCAGTGAGAAGATGGTACAGTGTGAGCAGACAGGCATTCCCATAGGATAACGCTGCCTGCTCCCACCTCACCATGTGACCAAACACTGTGGGCTACCAACAATAATCCAGGCTCAATACAGCTCCAGGCAAATTTAACCAAGAGAACAAACAATTACTCAAAAAACAATCTTTGGCAGATACATTTCTTGTTAGCTAAGAAGTCAAAACAAACTTGAGCTGGAAGTAAGAGCTCACAGCAGGTTATGTAATGCTCTTATCTAGTACTTTATTGTAGGTACAGTAGGTGTGAAAGACTGAGCTTCTCTTATTGTTAAAGCAAACTGGATAGCTCATTGTTTTTTATAAGGGATCAGATAATTAAACTGTAGTTTATGTGTGCTACACTTCTAATCCAATGCCGTGCAGGCATATTATTGACTTTATAAATAAGCGAAAGCACATCATCACTGATCAAAAAAACAAGATGTCGCCTAAGTACGATGTGTGACCCCCATGGCCCAGAGATTGGAGAAGACGGAGCCGTAGTTTATTGGGATCTTCTGTTTTGAGGCGGGAATTAAGTTGGTGGCCCTCGGTTTTGTTTTCCACTCTGTGTGGAGTTTGCATGTTCTCCCCGTGCTTGCGTGGGTTCTCTCCGGGTACTCCGGCTTCCTCCCACAGTCTAAAGACATGCAGCTTAGGTTGATTTGTGACTCTAAATTGCCCATAGGAGTGCATGTGCGTGTGTGTGGTTGTTCGTCTATGTGTTAGCCCTGCGATGGATTGGCGACCTGTCCAGGATGTACCCTGCCTTCGCCCAATTGCCGGCCAGGATTGGCTCCCCCCCCCCAAGTGGTAATTTGAGGAGTGAACAATGAATGTTTTCTAGTTGTGCTAAAATCAGTTATAGCCTTTCCCTATGCTTATTTTGTATTTTTATCACCAAGCAGCAGTCTCACTGAAATTAAGTGAGTGTGCCTCAGATGCTTGTAGTGCTACTAATGTGGAGGATCTTGTAGTGCTGCACTCTATGTACATCCTAAAATCACAGAGCTTAAACTCAAGATTTGTATGGAAGTGGATATGTACAGTTTAAGTCTAACATGTCATTTCTGTTTTGATATTAGTCCACTTATGATCCTTTAAAGGATAATACCGGTCATTTTCTGTGTTAGCAGCATTTTAAACACTTCACATACAGAGACATAAACCAACAGTGAATTGCTTCTACTCACAGTTAATGTCTGTCAGTCCTGGATTAGTTTATTCATCTGTGCCATAGACCTCCATTGTTGGTCAAGAATGATTAAAAACACATCAGGGAACCAAACCACTGCACTGAAACCTTCTTTGTGAACCATTAGATTCTGATATTTATTAAAAGTGATGCTTGAAATTACCATAAATTTTTTACAGCATCTGAAGTAGCAAGACTCAGCTGCACCTGAGCCAGATCTCTGTGACAGAGCAAGGAGCTAACGGACTGTAAACAAAGCAGAGAGCTTGCATGGAGATCTTGTGCATGTATAACTGACTCTTCCTTACTTCACAGTTATTGTCATTAGGAGCCTTTGAGGCAACATTATTAATATGCAGGTTTGATGTTTCGTAATGGGAAAAAAAAGTCTCCCAGAACAGTGTTTTGTTTCATGGATATGCCTTTAATGATTTTTGAGCAACAACATAGATCGATGGCACAGATGAGTAAAACTTTGAACTGTGTTTGCCATTTCATTCCATAGTAAATCACACTGGATTTGCTTGGTTAATGGTCACATTGTACTTTATGAAATATACAAAAAAACAATGTAAATAATATTATGAAATGATGAGGTTTTTTTTGTTTGAAAGGGTTACATCAAATAATTGACAGCAGCTGAGGACAGAGGTGTTAGACTCATTTGGTTGCTTTGATATCACAATGGTGATACACTACCAGAGAGAAGAACAGCAACAGAAGGCCATAACGCTCTGATACCTAAGACGAAGATTCTCCCCTGTGGCCATGCCTGATGGTGACATAACACTTCTTTGTCAGTGTTGGAAGGTCATATGTGAGGTGGACAACATACATCTGTCAGAATCTCCCTCCCATTGCTTTCATCAGCAGGGCTCATTCTGGTATTACAAATCCTGTCTTTGTTTCTATCCATCCATCCATCCATCCATTGTTTCTAATGACATTTATTTCCAAACCAAACCATACCTATTGATGTGTAGCAGACAGTGTTGCATTTAATGAGATCTGACTTGCCTGTGTGTCTGGAGTCTGGAGTGACGTTGCAACCGAACCTGTTGCTATGGCAACCAACAGGTTGTGTTTCTACAGTGATACAACCCATGTTTCTTTCCATTCACTCATGCACTTGTTTTCCATCACTACCTTTAATTAAAGCCTCCTTAATTCCACTTTCCTTTTTTTCATTTGTCTTGAGCTGATCTTTGTATAAAGTGGGTGCGGTGGGGTTTTATGTGTAGCCTCTACCTTGCCCTTTGACTGCTCCCAGATCAAAGGCACTTTTGAGTGTTGCATTAAAAACATTTATTATAACATAAAAGTCCATTATACTGTCTAACCACATCCATTTTAATTTTAATAAACAATAATTAACGTAATAAAATTAATTTGGGGTTTCTTTTGGCAGAATATGTGATGTTTTTCTGTATGTTGTGTCATTTCTACTGTCAATTTTATATAGCTTACTGTGCCAACATTTGTCCTTCACATAAGACTTAAAATAGTTTGTGTAGTTATTTTCTCATCAAGAGTTACTGTATATACTGTAAAAAGGTTGACACAACTCTCATGTCTCTACGCCAGTGTTAAATATGAAGCTATAAAAAGGAGACAACTAGCTTAACTTAGCATAGGGGCTGGAGGCAGAGGGAAACAGCCAGCCTAGCTCTGTGCCCAGGCCATTGTATGTACTGTAACTACTGTTATGCTAAATATGAAGCTACAATCAGCAGCTGGCTAGCTTAGCACAAAGATTGGAGATGGGAAAAAATCTGGCCTGGCTCTGAATGAAGGGAACAAAATGTAATCTAAAGTCCATAATTTTAATCATCTCCTGGCAGTCTAGCCCAACCTTCATGTTTAATGGACAGACATGAAAGTGGTGTTGCTGATCTTATCTTTCTTTGTCAAAAAAGCAAATGATCATTTTTGTAAAGATGTTGAACTATTTGTATATGCAACCACAGGGGTAGAGGAGAGGTGGAAACAGCTATTTTAATCTTTATTTCTGTGCTTCAGTCTCTCCGGAGGTGCTGGGGTTTCTGACAGCCATCGGGCTCTTCATCATCCTCATGACCCTCCTGTTTTGGTACCTCAACAACAAGTTGGCACTAGATAACCCAGGGAGCCTTCAGTGCCTTGATGACTTCAGAAAAATCACAGAGCTGCAAGGTAAGCATTTACACATGTTTTGTGCACTGTAAGGACATTTCATTTGCAAACATGTCTGTTTGGAACAGGAAGACTACATCTCAAGGTCTGTTTGGCAGATGCGTCCCCCTTTTAGCTGATTAGTTGTATGGAACAATATCAAATCAAATCGATTTTATTTGTATAGCGCCAAATCACAACAAAAGTCTTCTCAGGACACTTTACAAAGTAAGGTCTAGACCTTACTGTTATCAATATTATTACATAGGAAAACCCAACAAATCCCCCTTGAGCAAACACTTGGCGACAGTGGGGAGGAAAAACTCCCTTTAACGGAAGAAACCTCCGACAGACCCCGGTTCTTGGTGGGCG